AATGGTGGTCAAAGTGCTGGTGATTGTGGTGTTGCTGCTGATGATGGCTGTCGTGATGTGAGTGATAGTTGAAGTGTTGGTCGAAGTCCTTGAAGAAGTCATTGAAGTTGAAGTGTTGTCCGCCGCCGGAGCGAAGACTGTCGTCGTCGTCACCCAACTGGTCATAGCGCCGACGTTTGTCCGCATCGGACAACACCTCATAGGCTCTGGCGATCTCCTGGAACTTCTCCTCAGCATCTTTGGCCTTATTCTTGTCCGGATGATACTTCACCGCCAACTTCCGGAACGCCTTCTTGATGTCCCTCACGGAGGCGTCCCTCCCGACGCCCAACAGTGAGTAGTAGTCTTTGGCGGACATCACGCCATCGATCTGGTCGCTGATCCACACCATTATCACCAGTGAGTACAGCGATAGGTTCGCCGCGTTTACGTACATGTCTTGAGAGTTGGGATGAGTTTATGGCAAACGCGAAGACAATTGAGATACGGATTCAATGTATGGTTGTATTGAATGACTGATCCGTATATCATGTGTTAATTGAATACAATTATAATCAGCAGTCGTTTGCATATAAAACATATTTACGACACGATTCACACTCTCATTGGCTGTCAGTTTAGATACCGTTTCGTTCACTAATTATGTGTTGCATTCATTGCGCTCAATGTGTCCCTCATTTGCATTTCGCGCTAAACTCTATGCAAAGCACTACTTATCCCCGAAAACACACTCAAATCGTTATTTGTGTTCACTATTCGACGTAAGCTTTAAATTTCATTCGTAGGGTTAAAGTGCGGTGTTTTCGAGACGTTTCGCACGAAATGTCCCCAAATGTCTGCTTTTACCCCAAATATAACGGATCTCTCGCTTTATCCCCAAACGTTGCCAAACGGGGTTTGCATTGAAATGAATGCGTGTTTGGGGTTATTGCGGACACAAACACAGTGTTTGGGGTTATTGTGGACACAAATACAGTGTTTGGGGTTATTGTGGACACAAACACAGTGTGACGTCAATGAGTGCACGCATTGCGCACTCAATGAGAGTTTGTTTTGATTTGCGGTTCAAAACACTGAACGTTCAGATGATTTGATTCACCACTCAATCCATGCCTGAGACCATCAGCTCATCCAATGGCTGAAGACATGATTCTTCCGCTTCTCGGCTACAATGGCGACGACGAAGAGGATGACACGACCGACAGCGACGGTTTGTGTGCACTCTTGAGCCCATGAATGCATGTCTTCGCTGCCATTGAACTGATTGTCTGATCCAATGGTTCCGCAGAAGGCATTGACAACGATATCAGCGACGACTCGGAGGAGCACTCGAGCGACAGTCGTGACCAACGCGTCCAATACGACACAACCCTTCCGTCGCAACACAACTATTTGGGGGACAATCTGAACGAACTGTCCGGACGGGTAGTGTTGGACGAGACGTCGACTGTGAGCCTACCGCTGCTCACCATCGATAAGGTGGTGTTAGTGCCCTCACAGGTGCTGCCCCTACAGCTACACCACCCGACCATTGTGTCGATGATGAGGCGCCTCATCGACGGCCAGAGGACTGTCGGTGTCGTCGCCTCATTCGAGCCAACGCTCGGCACCACCGCTGAGATCAGGAGCTATTCCGGCGATGACGACGACGTCGAGGGTTTGCCGGTGTTTAGGGTGAAAGCGG